ATCTCGGTTCACTGCAAGCTCCGCCTCCCGGATTCACGCCATTCTCCTGCCTCAGCCTCCTGAGTAGCTGGGACTACAGGCGCCCACTACCGCGCCCGGCCAATTTTTTGTATTTTTAGTAGAGACGGTGTTTCACTGTGGTCTCGATCTCCTGACCTTGTGATCCGCCCGCCTCGGCCTCCCAAAGTGCTAGGATTACAGGCGTGAGCCACCGCGCCCGGCCCCCTCTTTTTTTTTTTTTTTTGAGGTGAAGTCTTGCTCTGTCACCCAGGCTGGTGCAATCTCGCCACCACGCCCGGCTACTTTTTTGCACTTTTATTAGAGATAGGATTTTGGTATGTTACCCAAGCTGGTCTCCAACTCTTGGTCCCAAGTGATTAGCCCACCTCGACCTCCCAAAGTGCTGGGATTATAGGTGTAAGCCACCACGCCCAGCCTGCCCTCTCACCACAAATCTCCTTCTCCTGGGTAAGTTTTCATCATCAGAAGTATCTTCTTCCATGCCAGGCGCGGTGGCTCATGCCTGTAATCTCAGCACTTTGGGAGGCCTAGGCGGGCGGATCACCTGAGGTCGGGAGTTCGAGACCAGCTTGACCAACATGAAGAAACCCCATCTCTATTAAAAATACAAAATTAGCCGGGCGTGGTGGCCTGCGCCTGTAATCCCAGCTACTTGGGAGGCTGAGGCAGGAGAATCACTTGAACCCGGGAGGCGAAGGTTGCGGTGACCTGAGATTGTGCTGTTGCACTCCAGTCTGGGCAACAAGAACAAAATTAGGTCTCAAAAAAAAGGAAAAAGAAGTATGCTCTTCCAGGAAGCTTCACTGACACCCCTTGGCTGGGTCACGTGCCTCCTCTGGGCTCCCACATCTCCATCCCAGCACAGGGCCTGACACATGGGAGTTGAGGCAAGTTAGATTGAATGAACAAATTAAACACACAGCACACTCACGGAGATGAAGAGACAGGAAAAGGGGGCCAACAGCACAATACAGGTTCGCTTCTTAAATGAGCGGTAGGTATGGCCCTCTGCGCTCACGGGGGGGCACGAAACTGTCCTAAGGGTGTGGGCGACAGCAGGCGGGCACTGGGGAGCCACGGAAAGGTGGGGAGCGGGGAGGGCGGATCGCTGACTGCAAATGAATGAAAGTTGCATTTCTCTGCATGTCGCACGCTATCCTGTCCCAAGTTGTTTTCTTCTAAAGGAATTTCCTAAAGAATCGCCCCCCAAGGCGCCCCCTACCCAGATCTGGCATCCCAGCGCTGTGCACACCTCGGGGTTCCAGATCCTTGATCTCGTGACCTCCGACCTGCAGTGACCTCGCCAACCGCCGCGGCCGCCCCGCCACGCCCCTGCCCGCCCGATCTCCTCCGCCGGCCACGTACGCCACTTACGCAGCCCGGGCGTCCCCGCCGGCGCTGCCGCCGCCAATCCTGCCGGGTGCATCCTTCGCCTTCGCCTTCGCCTTCGCCGCCGCCGCCGCCGCCGCCTCAGCCGCGGTTCGGAACGTGCCCGCCCGGCTCCCGTACCCACGCCCCGCCGGCGAAGAGACAGCCAATGGACGTCAGGATTGAGGGAAGGCCACGCCCTCCCACGGAGGCCTTGGCGAGTGGGCAGTGCCTTACGTAAGAGGCGGAGACTGGGTTACTGGGCTCCTGCTGTAAAGCGAGTCAGGGCCTGAGGGGCAGGAGGGCGGGGCCGGGAACAACCCCAGGAGGAGGCGGTGTCTGCCATGGCAGAAAGTGACTGTGTCTTCCCTTTGAGGGGGCTCACGCCGGTAACTCCAGCACTTTGGAAGGCCAAGGCGGGAGGATTGCTTGAGCCCAGGGGTTCGAGACTCGCCTGAGCAACATAGTGACCTCGCCCCACCTCATCCCTACAAAGTTGTTTTTTGTTTTGTTTTGTTGTTTTGTTTTTTTGTTTTTTGTTTTAATTTAGCCAAGCGCAGTGACTTATGCCTGTAATCTCAGCACTCTGGAAGGCCGAGGATCGCTTGAGCCCAGGAGTTCGAGACCAGCCTGGGCAACAGCAAGATCTCCATCGCTGCAAAACATTTTTAAAAATGTAAATATCGAGCGAAAGGGTCGATGGGAAATGCAGTTCTCTACAGACAGGCGTTCAATTTGGGTCGTTGAGAGCACTGGAGAGCCAGAGAAGGCTGTGGAGCAGGGAAAAGAGAAACATTTGTGTTCCTGAGGGGCTAATAGGAGTTGTAGGGGCTTATACAATTTTTGACAGCCCTTAGGTATTAAAGTAATTATTTATTTATTTTGAGACAGGGTCTTGCTCTGTTTCCCAGGCTGCCTCGGACCACCTGGGCTCAAGTGATCCTCCTGCCTCAGCCTCCCCAGTAACTGGGACCACAGGCATGCACCACCATGCCCAGCTAATTTTTAGTCAAAACAGGATCTTGCTATGTTGCCCAGGCTGGTCTCGAATTCCTGGGCTCAAGCCATCCTCCTGCTTCAGCCTCCTAAAGCGTTAGGATGACAGACATGAGCCACAGTGCCCAGCCTTAAAGTGAATATTTAGAGTGAGAAAAGGAAACCCAACAAGTTAGGTGAGAAGAACCAGGTGTCTCTCTTGGAAGAGATCTTAAGGCAGTTTCCCAGAAATTCATAAAAATGTTCTCACATTGCAACCTGGTTCCCTCTGTCCACCAAAAGCATTCTACAACCCCCAGCAACTCATAGCACACAGGTGCACCTGCAAGTGAAGAGCCCTGCCGACCAAGCGTCCTTAGTCTCTCCCCTCTCTGCCCCTCAGTCTGCCCCTTTCTCTCCCTCTCAGACTCCCCGATTTATCTCAGGAAAACATAGTGGTGGAAGTTACTTCTGCGCAGCGATAGCACATCCGGAAGGATGTCAGCAAGTGACCCTATCGCTGTGGCTTCCCCTTCCTCCTCTGAGACATTGTCTTTTTGGGGACCCTAAGGGCTGCTCCTGGTTTCTCAGTGATGAGTCCTGGCTCCACTGTTGTTCCTTTTTGTGAGTGAAATTCTCGCATTCTTCTTCACTTCTGATTTAGCCTCTGTCCCCTGGGCTCCAACACCATTTTCTCCTCATCCTCAGCCCTCTCTCTTGCTCTGGTTGCTCCAGATACATCTCTTCTATAATTTTTTTTTTTTTTTTTTGAGATGGAGTCTTGTTCTGTTGCCCAGGCTGGAGTGCAGTGGTGCGATCTCGGCTCACTGCAACCTTTGCCTCCTGGGTTCAAGCGATTCTCCTGCTTCAGCCTCCCGAGTAGCTGGGATTACAGTTATGCGCCACCACACCTGGCTAATTTTTTGTATTTTTAGTAGAGATGGGGTTTTGCCGTGTTGGCCAGGCTGGTCTCGAACTCCTGACCTCAGGTGATCCATCTGCCTCGGCCTCCCAAAGCGCTGAGATTACAGGCGTGAGTCACCGCGCCCAGCCTTATATATATGTTTTTAATTAATAAAGCAAGCTGCCAGGTACGGCGGATCACGCCTGTAATCCGAGCACTTTGGGAGGCCAAGGCGGGCAGATCGCCTGAGGTCAGTTCGAGACCATGCTGGCCAACATGGTGAAACCCTGTCTCTACTCAAAATACAAAAATTAGCTGGGTGTTGTGGCAGGCACCTATAATTCCAGTGACTTGGGAGGCTGAGGCAGGAGAATCGCTTGAACCCAGGAGTCAGAGGTTGCAGTGAGCCGAGATCATGCCACTGCCCTCCAGCCTGGGAGACAGAGCAAGACTCTTGTCTCAAAAAAAGACAAAAAACAAAAAAAGCAAGTTCATTGGCTTCCCGCTGGCCTTATGTTCACCCTTTACCAATTATGTGACTACTACTTTTTATTTTTTTGAGGCAGGGTCTCACTCCATCACCTATACTGGAGTGCAGTGGTGTGATCGTAACTCATTACAGCCTCTAATTCCTGGGCTCAATCGATCCTCCTGCCTCAGCCTCCCAAGTAGCTGGGACTACAGGCGCATGCCACCCTGCTTGGCTAATTTTTGTATTTTTTGTCGAGATGGGGTTTTGCCATGTTGCCCAAGCTGGTCTCAAATGACTACTTCTTTTTTTTTGAGACGGAGTCTCGTGCTGTCACCCAGGCTGGAGTGCAGTGGCCGGATCTCAGCTCACTGCAAGCTCCGCCTCCCGGGTTCACGCCATTCTCCTGCCTCAGCCTCCCGAGTAGCTGGGACTACAGGCGCTGCCACCTCGCCCGGCTATTTTTTGTATTTCTTAGTAGAGACGGGGTTTCACCGTGTTAGCCAGGATGGTCTCGATCTCCTGACCTCGTGATCCGCCCATCTCGGCCTCCCAAAGTGCTGGGATTACAGGCTTGAGCCACCGCGCCCGGCCGACTACTTCATTTTTAAGCCGAAACTTTCTCATCTGTTTGGTGGGAATCATACTGGGAGGGGGCAGCGGGGGAGGGGGCAGTTGAGAATTCAGTGCAAGTTCAAGTGTCCACAGGGCCTGGCAGAATGTAAGCCTTCCATCACTGGCACCTACTGTGTTACTGTTTCTATTATCAGGTGCCCCTACTTCTGAATTGTCAACCCCAAGTTGGGCTCTGCCCCGTGATCTGCCAGCTCTTTAATAGAACCACCTGGGGCATGTCTGAGCTGAGCCCCAAGCCCCACTCCTCTGCCAGTCAGATGGGGTCAGGACTCTGGGCTGCCCTCCAAAAGGCTCTCAGGAAGGCCCTGAGTTCTGGCTGGAGTCAGAAGTGGAGAGATTTACAGGAGGGGCACAGAAGGAAAGCTTTCCTCTGAAATAGAGGCATGTATTTGTGATTCTGCCTGGCTCGTTTCCATTCATCCTTCATGCTTCAGCTCAGCTAGCCCCTTCCTCAGGAAGCTCTCTTGACCTCCCTAGGCATGGTTGGTTGCTTCCTCTGGACTCTTTCTTTCTTTTTTTAGAGATGGGGTCTCACTCTCTCTTCCAGGCATAGCTCACTGCAGCCTCGAACTCCTGGGCTCACGCAATCCTCCGACCTCAGCCTCCCGAGTAGCTGGGACATCAGGTGTGGGTCGCTCTTGTGTCTGTCTCCCAGTTAGACTGGGAGCCCCATGGATGCATGGCACAGGACCGTCTCATCATTACTGAGTCTCAAGGATCATCCAGCGAGGGGTCGGCACAAAATGGGCATTGAACAAAGATTTGGTGAGTAGCTAAGGATCCCCACTCAGTCCACGCGGGCACAGGGGACACCTGACCCTGTGGTGCCCGCTGTTCCCACTCCAAGGCACACGACTTGGCGAATGGAGCGAGAATTGGATTTCAGTTTGCCCCTTGCTCCGTCAGCCGCGCGCCCTGATGCAGTGCACAACCTTAGCTGCTGTGCGCGGTAGGGGGCGACTCCTCGGCCTGCGAGCTGAAAGGAAAGTTCAGATTCCTCTAACATAGTGAACCAGCCTTGCAGGAGGACGAGAAGGAAGGAATGAGGGGAAGAGAGGACTACTTCCACCTTTTCCATCCCGTTGGTCTCCTGGGTCTGGGAGCGCTGGGCTCCACCCTCTCTGAACTAACACCTGGCAGTTGGGCGTGCCTCAGTTTCCCGGAGGCGGGGCATTCCTCCGTCGCCGCCCCCCACCTCCCCTTTTTCCTCTTCCTCTTGGGGCTTCTGCGGCCGCGCCTCTAGCACTCCCGGAACTGAAACTAGGTGCCAGACGGTCCGGAGGCGGGGGCCACGTCAGCGGGGCCACCCCGGGCTCGCGGGGTCCCGGCGGGCGCCATGCGGAGGGGCGCGCTCCTGGCGGGCGCGCTGGCCGTGTACGTCGCGTACCTGGTGCTGGGCGCGCTGCTGGTGGCGCGGCTGGAGGGGCCGCATGAAGCCCAGCTCCGAGCCGAGCTGGAGACACTGCGGGCGCAGCTGCTGCAGCGCAGCCCATGTGTGGCGGCCCCTGCCCTGGACGCCTTCGTGGAACGAGTGTTGGCGGCCGGACGGCTGGGGCGCGTCGTGCTTGCCAACGCTTCGGGGTCCGCCAACGCCTCGGACCCTGCCTGGGACTTCGCCTCTGCTCTCTTCTTCGCCAGCACGCTGGTCACCACCGTGGGTAGGTAAGCGCCGCCCCGCAAGGCGGCGAGGACTGGGATCCCCACTTCATCCTTACCCCCTGAGGACCCCAGAGCCCTCACGAATACCCTTATTCCAATCCCCTCTGGGCTTCGGATCCCCCGAAAAGACCCCCGTGAGGACCCGGGACCCACGCTCATGATATCCGCTCTGCTGCGGGAGCCCAAGTCCGAGTCCTTCCTCCTAAGTAGGAAACACCCAGCTCCCCTCAGAGTACCTTTGCAGAGAACACCCTTTGCAGGGACCCCGTTCCTCCGTCTTTTTTCTTTTTCTT